AAGGTGTTGGTTATCGCCTTTAAAGCCCTACATGGCATGGGACCAGGTTACCTAAGGGACCGCCTTTCCCCTATGACTTCAACCCGCCCCACCCCATCACATAGAGAGGGCATGCTTCGGACCCCCTCAGTAAAAGAACTTTGATTAGTGGGGTCCAGAAGGCGGGCCTTCTCTGCGGTAGCCCCCGCTCTTTGGAACATTCTGCCCCAGAGGTGCAATTGGCCCCCTCACTCCTGGCCTTCCGAAGGGCTTTGTAGACCTGGTTCTGCCACTTGGCCTGGGGTGGGGAGGGAATACCTCAAGCATGGGGATGGCTAGCCTCATAGAGGCCTCCTGTCTTCAGCCTCAGATTTTTCATTTTCTTGGACTCTTTCCCTTTTTTAGAAATGTTTTTAAATTGATGTTTTATGTATTTATATTTGTTTTTAATGTTCGGTGTGAGTCGCCCAGAGTTCCCCCATTGGGGGGAGATGGGCGGGTGAGAAATTTAATAAATAAAAAATAATAATAAATAAATATGTTAACTGTTAAGATAGCTCTGTATGGGTGTTATCTTAAGATACCTCTGTATGGGAGCAAGTAATATCTAAAATACATTTAATTCTGGCCATTGGGAGCAAGAAGCAAGATAATAAAACAACATTACCAAATGCTAGAATGGTTTTGAGATACAAACTTGCATTTATAACAAGGTGAAAAATCCATTTCTGGAGGTATTATGGTTTTTCCTGGTACAAGTGACAAAGTTCTACTTTAATGCTTCAAGTTAAATATTAATCCAGCTCTGATAATCTTGGTGGTCCACCTTCAAGATAACATGAATTACCAGAAAATAATTGATATTTGAAAATTAGAGATTTGGAAACTTCTGCAATTAATAAATATATGTGTCAGGAATGCAGTGAGACTGATCAAAGATGCTACATTCACCATAGGATTTGTTTTTGCCAAGTGTGGAAACTAGAGTCAGTTTAGTGTGGTGGTTAAAGGCACTGGGATAGAAGTGGGGAAATCAAGTTTTAGTCCTGCATTAGGCACAAAGCCAGCTGGTGCCAGTCACTCACTCTGAGCCTAGGAAGGAGGCAATGACTAATCACTTCTGAAAAACCTTGCCATGAAAAGTGCAGGGACTTGTGGATGTAGTTGCCAGGAGTCAAGACCAACTCCAAGGCACACACAAAGTGTGGGAAATACATGCATATTATATGTACGTACAACTCAAACCTCCTCCATAAATCAACCCATATGAGTGCATGGTAGTTATACCTCAAAGTACAGTAAAGCAAATTGGAGGGGTGGGGGTGGAGTTTAAACTGGATTTTCTGTCATAGCCCTTCAGGCAGATATAGCTATCTTGCCTTTCCAGCTTGTTAATCAACACAACGTTGAAAAGTCACCCAAGTACAGTACCAGATAGTGGCTGCACTCATAACGTGTTTAACCTGGCTACAGAATTAAATCGTTTTCTGGTATCACACAATATACTAACATGTTAATTCACAAAATAAAAACCAAGTTAAAACCAACCTTAGCGTATTGTGCGAATGCAGCTACTAAGTGCTAGGAACTTGCGTGAACACAGCCATAGAAAGTAAGACCACAGGAATAAACATTTCTAAAATTAACCCGGAAGCGCCCCCTCAACTCCCGCAAATAGCTCAATTTCCCGAAAGGACTGAGGTTTGCAAATAATGCCCGTTCTTCCGCTTCTCCTCCAAATCAGCGGAGACCGCAGGCAGGCTTGCCGTCCCTCAAAGAGGGGCTAGCGATTTTAAAAGGCAAGAGTGCACGTGCGTTTTCACTCTTTATGACATCGCACGTTTTCCGCGTAAGGTCTAATGTAATAATGAGCAGCCGCAGATTAAAAAAACGCTCGGAGGAAACATTTAAAAAATAAAGCGCCGCAGATTGCAAGTGAAGGTGGGTGGTCCCCGGCCTGAAAGAGATGGAGGCCAACCCTCCCGCTCGACTTTCGCAAGTAAAATGGCCTCCCCACCGACAGCTCCGGATTCCCGCTCTTTGGGGAAGCGTCGTTGTGACGTCACCGCGAGCGCCACGCTCGCGCTCAAGCTTAGAACGCATTCCATCCGCTGCAGCTTGCCTCTCTCTCACCTCATCCTCACTGCACGCCTCGGCGCAATGCATGCTGGGATCGCGTCCCTCCCGCCAGGTCTTCCAGCTTCCCGGCGTGCCCTGCGCCCAGCTGAATGGGGGCAGTCACAAGATGGCGGCGAACGCAAACTCTGCCGGTGGCGGCGGCGGTAGCCTCCCACTCTTTGACTGTCCGACCTGGTGAGGGTGGGGGCGTGTGCCGTTGGAGAGCGGGGAAGCGACTTGTCGTGCAAGGGGGACTGCATTTTCCTTGGGAGGCGGAGCAGCATCCTAAAGAGGGGAGCGGGCCCGGGGGTAGCAGCCCCTGGAAGGGAGGACTGACTGAGGGGAATCCTCAAGGCTGGTCCTTTGAGTGTTGCAGTGTCGCGTTTCGTATGTGAAATAATTGGGGGTGGAGGGGAGGGAGATAATGTTTTTAGCTTAGGCAGAACACATGTTTTTACTTCAAAGCAAAGGATGCCTCTGATCATGAGCAGAGGGCTTGCCTCTCATTGATATGCCTCTGAATAGGGGTGGCGAAGATGTTCAATATAGCACGCGATACGATAGATAAGGGCAGGTTGTGTGGCTACCGAGCGGTCTTTGTGAAGTGAGAGAGAGTAGGCTGCTGAGTATGGACAAATGGCATAATTTTTACTTTAAAAATCCCTGAGCCTGGGAGAAATCAAAATATACCTTCATCCTAGGTATGTTACTAAAGTCCTACATATAAACCTATAAAATGAAGTTGTGGTGGGGAAATGAATTTAGGCAGCATGGACATTTATTTGGGACTGTACATCACTGTATATTGTGAGATACTTTAGAAGATAAGCTGGTTTACTCTGCACACAAATCTTGTCTCAGTTGTATGAATCTGAATAATGGGCACAATAGTGACTAAAGGTTCAGTGTACAAAATATTTTAAACAATTATCTGGAAATACGTGTTGGTATCCATATGTGTTTTATAGTATGACATACACTGGATTGGATCAGGATGCATTCATATTTCAAACAGAATGGTTGGAATCATAAGGACTGACTTAGTCATCACTATATTGCACCATTTTATCTCAATAGGACTCTCCCTAATATGACCAAATTTGAATCCAATCCTCTGTATTAATAAAGATGTGTACGTTAATAGCATTTAAGGCTAGAAAAAATATTTTAGAATTAGATTGGACACGTTTTTAAAAAATATTTTTCCATTGGCAAGAAAATGCTCCTCAACCACTGTGGAAGTGTGGAGTGTTTTGTTTGTTCTGTATTTGGTTTCAATGGATGCAAAAGCCACTGATCAAGTTAGTCTTCAAATTTCTTGTACATTTAGAAATGTTGAATTTTAGAGGATACAGAGGTGTGTTCATCTTGCTCAAAGTAACATCTTAGGAGACATGACATAAGGCAGCAATTAGTATAGTCGTAATGATTCCCATCTGCTCCAGATTCATGGATCTTGGGGCTATGGACCCTCTGTATTCTATAGAGCAATAATCTGTCTATTTTTTCCCAGCTCCGTGAAACAGTGCTGTACAGTCCAAGAGAAAAAAAAACAGACCCTCTTCCCAGTATAACTGATTAGAAAACAGTGAATCAAATTATAACACACTTTACTGTCTAATAGCTATATACTCATGAATGCAGTTTAGAGGAAGAATTTCTATTTTAAATGTTTAATGTTTTACATCAGTGCACAGCTTCATTAGAATTGATCTTAGGAGGCTAGGTTTTGATGATAGGATAGGAATTCCCTCACATATTTATAATGCCAGCATAAAATAAAAACTTGGTGACTTACTGCAAAGGTTTTTTTTCCATTTACACACCATGCTTTAGATTATTATCAAAGAATAGATTATTTGTATGTTAAAACATTGTGGAAGATACAAACAAATGTATATTCCTTATTTCAGAGTATCTGCCAAGTAGAAGGATTATTTGGGCTGCAACCTGACTAGCAAGGTTTTGCATTTTAATAATGATAGTTAAAGCTATCAAATGTGTCACTGTTATGTGATTGAAATAACTATTATTAAAAAAAATTGTTTGGCCCTTGGAGGCTTATTCTTTTCTAATAGTTTAGTTGGGAAAGTGTTGGGACAGTTCCATCCCAATGTCCGCTGTATATTTGCTAGGCTTTCCATCACATGCAGATAGAGACAGAAAAAAATGTGAAAGTGAAAGATTAAAACAACAATTAAAGAGCTGTCAAAAATGTTCAGTCAAAAAAAAAATACAGATGTGCTCAAGGATCTTCTAATAATACAAGATCCACC